TTTTCCTCAACAGGATCTCTTCAGGAATACAACCTGGCAGAGAGACCTGGCTGACTATATTGCCAAAAGACACCCTGGCATTGCCACGCACTGCCACAGTGTGTATAGGTCCATGAGTGTTCTCATTCCTAAGAGTACCTGTACCCGTGTACATTACGGTCTCTCAGGAAGTCGTCCAAAAGCTTCTTGAATGATTCCAGACTATTCGCAGAAATCACTGCTTCAGGCAGCGAGTTCCAGACCCTAACCATGCGAACTGAGAAGAACCCCCTTCGCCCCTTGTGTTTGAATTTTTTTTCTACCAGTTTTAGGTGGTGGCCTCTAGTCTTTGTTACGGAATTAATCTTAAAGAGTTTGTTGCTAATGTTGCTATGACTATTGAACATTTTGTACATGAAAATCATGTCCCCACTTAATCTCCTTACTTCCAACGTAAACATGTTTAACTTTAGTAGCCTTGTCTCATAGTTCTGGTCCTCCATCCCCTTTGAGTTTGGTCGCCCTCCGCTGGACTTTCTCCAGTTCAAGGACATCCTTTCTGTGTACCGGTGCCCAAAACTGCACCGCATACTCCAGGTGGAGCCGAACCATTGATGTGTAAAGTGGCAAAATGATAGACCTATCCCTGCAAAACATTCCCTGCAGGACAGGATTCTACTAGCTTTGCTTACAGCAACCTGACACTGTAATCTATTCAGTTTATGGTCTACAATGATCCCCAAATCTTTCTCCATTTCCGACTTCCCTAGTGGCATACCCATAATTGTATAACCCATTTGCCTATTTTTGCTCCCAAAGTGCATAACTTTGCATTTATCGACATTAAACCTCATCTGCCACATAGTTGCCCACTCCCTTATTTTATCCAGGTCCTCCTGCAATGTTACACTATCTTGATCTGTTTCTATTACCCTCCCAATTTTGGTATCGTCAGCAAACACTGAGATATTGCTGTTTATTCCGTCCCCGATGTCGTTAATAAACAGGTTGAAAAGCATGGGTCCCAGCACAGAACCCTAAGGCACACCGCTAATGACACTAGCACAGTCTGAAAGGGCACCATTTATTGAGACTCTCTGTTTCAAAACAAGAGCTTACTCTATCTGCCTTGCAGCATCTTTTCTTAGCCCTCTAGGGCAGTGGTCCCCAACCTCTGGGCCGCGGACCGGTAACGGTCCGTGGATCAAATGATACCGGGCCGCGGGGCCCCGCACTGCCGACGGGCTTCACAGTGAGGGGGCGGGTCCTGTGACTCACCTCCCCTCCCGGCCGCGTCCATAGTAACAGGCGGCGGGAGAGGAGGTGAGTCACAGGAGACGTGTGTGTCACAAGCCCCGCCCCCTGCAGTGAGTGCACACAACTCCCTGGCTGGGTATGTCCGAGGGCGGGAGGGGGGAGAGGAGGCAGCAGCAGCTGGGTACAGATATGTCGGTCGATATATGGATGGGGAGTTTGTAGAGGGGGGAGAAATATCTGGATAGGGGGGTTATAGAGGGGTAACAGATACGTGGTTGGGAGGTAGAGGAGTAATAGATATCTGGATGGGGGTGGGGAGTGAGTAGAGGGATAAGGCCTCATTCACACACGAATCGGCCTGCACGTACAGCTCTGTGCTGCGTGCGGGGCCGTACCAAGTAGCTGCCGGGAAGGACAGGTGCTGCGTGTGATTAGAACGCAGCCCCCGTCCTTCTCTATGGGGCTACGCGGCCGTACGCCCCCCTACGCTCACCTCATTTGCAGGTCCGTAGGGGTGCGGGTGATCGTATCCATACGCCGCCGGAATGGAACATGTATGCGTCCCGGCCAGAAAACCCGCACCCCTACGGACCTGCAAATGAGGTGAGCGTAGGGGGGCGTACGGCCGCGTAGCCCCATAGAGAAGGACGGGGGCTGCGTTCTAATCACACGCAGCACCTGTCCTTCCCGGCAGCTACTTGGTACGGCCCCGCACGCAGCACGGAGCTGTACGTGCAGGCCGATTCGTGTGTGAATGAGGCCTAATAGATATGTGGATGGGGGGTTGTAAAGGGGTCATAGATATGTGGCGGGGGGGGGGGGGATAGTAGTTGTGTACAGCTATTTCATGCTTTTTCTTGTAATTAGACAAGTGGATTATAATGGGGAATATTACACTGTAATGTTCCCTATTATAATCTATTTCTCTGATTAAATGATTACAGGTAGGCATGTGATCTATCAAAGTTTGAGACTACGTTAGAATGTGTGACCAGTGACGTGGTCACACATTTTAACGTAATCTCGCCCAGTTTTTCGGTGGTGGAATAGGTGAAGAATTCCAACGCTTTCATTTTTTGGTGTAACTGTATTTTATTTTGAAGGCATGTTTAAATACAATTAAATTAAAATTATTAAATCAAAACAATCTAAAATATAAACAATCAACGTCCCCCCCTCAGCGGGCCACGGTAAAATTATCAAACGTTGACCGGTCCGCGGCGATAAAAAGGTTGGGGAGCACTGCTCTAGGGGGTGTCACGGAGCCGGCCCCTAGGGCAGTGCTGGGGATGGAAAGCAGGAGGAGGATGAACCTTTATTTCACACTATCACCGCCCAATTCCAAATTATGAAATGGAGTTGATATTGTAACTCAGGTTTATGACCTTTGGGCGAATCCTGGGTCAACTGGGTCATTACCTCTACCCGACCTGGTTGTTTTTATATACTTATCCACTGGTGACAGATGAATGCCTGGTTGCATACCTTTAATTAGGGCCGCCATAAAAGGTTTAGAGGTGATTTGGGACTCTCACTTGTGCTGGGGGCAATAAAGATCACAGGCCAGATAAGCAGATATCTGTTCTGTGGAATGTGGAGGGACCTGGCAATTGACTAAATGAAGGGCCTGCATTTGCTCCGAACTGGGGGACAAGAGAATGCTATTTTTAATATGCAGACTCAAACCCCATAATCGTCACTACTGTAGTAATTAGAAGGATGTGTGCCCTAAATTATGCGATTGGAGTCATTGATGTATGTGACATTAAAATTGATGCCTTCTGTGCAAGTCATAAACAAGGCACACTAGCTTGACACTAGTTCACAGTAGCTGCAAGGTAAATGCAGCATTTTACTATATAGCTAGTGTCTGCTAGGTGGGAGTGTTAAACGCCTCCAGTCTAAACACTCCATTCATGTCTCTATACGGCAGTGCTTTACAATGCACTGCGTTGACCTATGGTGGCATCTAGTGTGCTGTGGAAAAATGTAGGGTTTCTGCAGTTTACCACAGCTCACTGTACACACATCACACATGCATTGTGGTGCAAATAGGATTCACGGATTCACCCGGACAGTCCGGGTTTTGAATGCTGTGTCTGGGTTTCATGGCAGCAGAAACCCGGACACAAGAGGTCAGGCAGACAGGGGCAATCAAAATTAAGATAGGAGCTACTGGCCCCCCATTGAAAATAGTCTCAACTGTGATATTTACATATTAATGGTTGGTGCTATTTACATATGAATAAGCCACAACTCATTCTCCCCCCAAAAAATATCTGTGCCTCGTTAGAGTGCTCGGGTTACTCTTGAAGAAAAGGTGGCAACCCTAGGTGCAGATAGGACATGTTGGAAACTTTTGTTTTCTTTATGTCCTAGGGGTGACTGGCGGTCTGGCGCACAGGCGAATTGGCCCTTAGCATGTGGGCTGGTGTTCACTGCGTGGCACTGTTGTGTAGAACAAGGCAGTAGGCACTGTTTACTTTTTTTTGTTTGTTTTATCTTTATTGGCAGTGTACAAAGTGTACATCCCATTCAGATGCACTGTGCTGCCATCCATTTGTTTTCTATATGCCCCATTCACACACTGGTGCAGGGATGTGCGGTAAAGTCAGTGACAGGTAAGGCCCTGCCCCAGTCACCAAGTTATGTGTTCATCTGCCGGCAACCGAATGTAACAGGAGGCAGGTAGGAGGGGAAACTGCTCTGCCTGTGGGGTGTGGGAGGGAGGAGACAGGGAGAAGCTTACTTGTCCCTTACTTGCTTGTCACTGATGAGGCATATACATGGATGCTGTCAGTGGTTTTTTGATTGGACGGTTTGGACCAATGGCACTTTGCCACTGGCCAAAACCATCCACAGAGCTCAAGCCTCTGACTCCACGTCAGAGCCGTGTTGTAGCTCTTACCTCCTTGTGCTAGGTTACACACAACAGCCGTAAAGTCTGCTGCTGTGCAACCTAACATAGTTGGCAAAAGCTGGATGACGTTGGATGTAATTAACAGGCAGCGCTCTGTCCATGACAGGTTACACAGTAGGGTTGCCACCTGTCCTGGATTCACCCGGACAGGTTTTGAACACTGTGCCCAGGTTTCATGGCAGCTGAAACCCGGACACATGATGTCAGGCAGATAGGGGCAACCAAAATTAAGGTAGGGGCCACTAACAGTGAGGACGCTTTCGCCATTGTGTATCCTGTTAGAAGCCAATCTGAATGAAGAAATAAAAGCTGTCAGCTTTAGTCTTGAAGCTGACAGCTTTTTCTTTCATAGTTCACCTGCCTCCCCCGACTGCATGTCCCTGCACTGGTGTGATGTGCTATCCAGGAAAAAGAAAAAAAACACGTAGCATATTTCTGCAGCACACTAGATGGCACCAAAGGCCACCAATACTGCGTTGTGGTGCAGAGACCTTGAGAGTATATTTTGTACACTGCCAATAAAGTTCTTTAAAAAAAAACCGGAAACATTGCCTTGTGTTGTAACACTGCTGGCACCTAGTGAAAATTAAGCGGCACGGCAAAACCATTGCGTTTAACATGCAGCTAAGGTTTTTATTATATTAAGCCATACGCGAAGTTAGCAATGCGAGATGGGAATTTACGGCAAGCAATCCAGCAGTTTACATGAACGGCGCTAGTACACACACTAGATTGTATCAAGGACCTTCCTAGTCAAGCTGGCGTTCTTCGAAGTCAGCCCTTTGTTAGGGTCCTTCGAGGCCACGCCCCCGTCGTTTCCTTTTGTTTTCCCCTCCCCCGGCAAAAAAAAAAGAAAATCAATATGGCTGGGGCCTGGATGTGCCAGTGACACAATACGATAGGATTTATAATGCTGAAGAGTACTGGATATTTTCGGGGAGTCGAGTGTCCTTTCAGGGAGAGTTGCCGGCGTCCTCACTGTCACTTTAGACACCGAGGAAGAGGTGCCCCGAATATTGGAGGAGAGGCCCGGAATGGGGCAGGTGAGAGCTGCTGGATACAATGTAGCAGAACAGTACTTCAGTAGTTTTGGGGTTCACAAGGCTTTGTGTGGAACACTGATATGTTTGTTCTGACAATGCTGGCCATGGAACAACCACTGTTTTAGCTTGTACTGACTTTGTTTAAATGATTTCTATATGTGGCTGCTCTTTGCGTGTTCACACTTGAGCGGTTTGTCGCCCAATTTTCGAAGTGCAACACCACTCTAGATGAAGAATCTCAGTATTATTATACAGGATGTATATAGCGCCAACAGTGTGTGCAGCGCTTTACAATATAAGGAAGACATTACAATACAAATCAAAACAAGATGGTAAGGAGGGCCCTGCTCATAAGAGCTTACAATCTACAATTCTTGATGGGCCTGTTAACACTGGATTATTGTGTTGCCGGTTGTGTGAAGCTTCAAAAAGTACATGAGCTTTGCTTGGTGCTGAATTGTGTGTTTCTGGCCCCATGGACTAATGGGCAAGTTTGAAAAGCATGCGGGTTTATATGTGGTTTTTTTTTTATGTGCTCCAAATTAAAGGTCTATGGAGGCAAAAATACAAAATCCCTCTGTATTATCAGTCATGTGTATAGCTGTGCAAGATTGAACACGTGTTTAAATGCAGTAATATGCACCCAGCTCCCATTCACAGTACAGGCAGCCCCCGGGTTACGAACAAGATAGGGTCTGTAGGTTTGTTCCTAAAGAGAACTATGGGGTAAGTGTTTTTTTTCCCCATAGTTCTCCTAAGGGTCACGGGAGGACCCAAAGCTCAGTATACCTCACGCTACAGCTCGCGGTATACTGAGACCGTCGCAGCCGGGACGTATCCCGACATTACTGTCGAGATCCACTCAGCTGCGTGATTGACAGCTGGCTCTGCCTATCTAGAGGCAGAGCCAGCTGTACCCGCCCCCTCTCCTGTCTTTTCCGCCAGTCAGCGCTGGGGGATCGGAGCAGGGAGGGGGGCCAATCTCTGCAGACCGCCGGGACAGATCTTGACAATGCTGTCGAGATCCACCCAGCTGCGTGAAAGACAGCTGGCTCTGCCTATCTCTGCCAGCTGTACCCGCCCCCTCCTCTGTCCGTTCCTCCCCCCTTTCTCCAGTCGGTGCTGGAGGATCAGAGTGGGGAGGGGGAAATCCCTGTGGGGAGCCGTGACTGACAGTCACTGCTCTCTGCAGGGAGATGGTCGAGAAGTGAACGAGTGACAGTATGTGTTCGCTCACTTCCCGATCTATTGAGCCGACGTGTGACAGTTTCATTGTCATACGTCGGCTCGAACTATGAGGTTGAGTGAAAATCACTCAACTCCATAGTTCTCCTTTTTAAGTTGAATTTGTATGTAAGTTGCAACAGGTACATTTTGTAAGGGCTTGTTCACACCAAATGCAGACCAGATCTGCATGAGTTTCTGCACACACGGTGCAGTGGGTTGTGCCGGGTTTTTTTGCCGCGTTTTTGATGTTTTCCGGCCCGTTTTTGTAAAAATGATTTGTAAAAAAGAATAAAAAAAAAAAACATTTTAACCACTTGCCGTCCGCCCGTAGTAAAAAAACGGACGGACGGATCCAGGGCGTTTGCATGCGTTTCTGATGCATTTGCATGCATTCCAGAGGTAAAATATTTTTTGCTGCAGTTTTTTTTTACATGCTCTGGAACTGAACACTGCGGTGTGGACTAGAGCCCAAAATACCATTGGAATACATTGGACGCAGTTTTGATCCGGTCTGTAACTGCTCTGCTCCTGGAACGCGCTTTGTGTGAACAAGGCCTTAGTGTAACTCCAGTCAAATTTTTTTTTTTAGTTTTGGATAGCATAGGGAAGGGTTAACCCCCTGTAACGTTTTTTTTTTTTTTTTGCTCTGTGTGTGTCCCTGTTCAGAAGATTTCACCTCGTTTTCTGTCCCTGCAACAATTGGATTTTGAAAATTGGAAACAAGGATTGGTGATAAAGCTTCAGTGGAGACACCTTTTTCCCATGATAACTCTTACAGGAGTGAATTTCCCTTCCTAGGGGTAGATTTCCTCTCACTTCCGGTAGTCTCAAGGACAGGAAGTGAGAAATAAATCTTCCTAATGAGGATACAGACGGCAGTTAAAACCTCACAGTGACCCGGAAGAGGAGGTGGGCACCCCTTGTCTGCACAACTAACAAGAGCCAACTTCCTGTAATGTACATACAGTACTACGAACCAAACCCAAAAAGGCGGGCACTCCTCGTCAGCGTGGTAGCATTAAAACGACTGAAATACTGTGCGGTACACTTTGGCTGCAGCCTGGGACTCCCTGCTGTTTGTTTTTGTTTTAATATAAATTCTTTTATTTAACCTTTTTCAACCGTTTAACATGAATATACATAGACATAAATTGAAACAATAGTGGGTTAAAGGACAGGAGAAAAGAAAAAGAAAGGAAAAAAAAAAAGGGGAAAAACCTACTCGTACAAAGGGATAAGACACAGTAGCGACCTCGATCCAAGTTGGCATTCGTATCATAGCGAGTCCCCCAGGCCTGCTGTTTGTTTGTAAGTAAGTAGGTTTGTAAGTAGGGGTCGTATGTAAGTCGGGTGTTTGTAACTCGGAGACTGCCTGTAGTCGCGTGTGTGCAAAATTGAGCGTTCACACAATGTGCAAAAAGCATGTGTTGTGCTTGCAGTGGCATTATTTGTTGCTGTGGCTCTTACCTCTTTGTGTTACGTTACACACAGCAGCAGCAAGGATGCTTTCCCTGTTGTGGATCCTGTTAGAAGCCAATCTGAATGACAAAATAAAAGCTGTCCGCTTCAGTCTTGGCAAGCAAGAGATTCCTATCAATGCGCAAAGCTTGCAGTCCAAACTCCTGCACGAGCGTCTTTGCTGCGTGTAGGGCAACCTATTGAAATAAATGGGCACTGACGCATGACAAAATGCGTATTGTGCATGGAGCCTTAGAAAGTTGCATCTAATAGTTTCTTTATGGGTTTGTTCACGTGTTGTTCAGCTGCAGCCAGTTTACCTGCAATTCAGAAAAAGAAAAGTCTGGTGCGTCTAGGGTCTAGACGTAGGAACATCGAGACACAGTAAAAATTGATCGGGGATGCATGAAAGTTGTTTATACTTTCCAGATGCCTTTTCCTGTGTAGAAAATCTAAACGCAACAGTGTGAATGAGACCTAAGGCAAGGGGCATGAGTGTGATGATCACAATCACGTGAGTGGTCCGATCGCGTCTTCTTTTCAGTTTTTCAGCATTACCTGATTGGATGCTCTATGCAAGTCTATGGGCAGGCGTGTGTAAACGGATGAGTGTCCGTTTACACCTGGTTAGCCCCAGTTCTAGCTAGATCTGTAAAAACAAACGGATCAGATCGTGCCGGACTGGGGGTAATCAGATGTCTGTTTACTTTTTATTCCCTATAGACACGCATGGGATCCGGAAGTTTCAGTGTTTACTGTACGGACACTGCTGTGATCAGGAGAGCATCTGTTGACAGATCAGTGAAATTAAGCAAAGACACCCCATGTACTTACCCTACCTTAACTGCTTCTCAGATCCTCGCTGTTCTGCATCGATGGCTGAAAGTGGCTGTATTGGTGACACAGGGGAGCAGTGATGTTATTCCGCTGGCCATGTGGCAGTGAGGGAAAAAATTATTCACCATATTACGCATAGAGGAGCCACTCACCTTGAGCAGTATGCATATCTTCAGGTGGCAGTGCTTAGGCCTTTAATAACCTATACCAAAAAAACACAAATAGTGTAGCGCTTAAAACAATTACAAAGTGTAAAAACATTTATCTGCCAATACTGTGACATTTGCCTTACATACACATTTACAGGGTTATTCACAAAAGGGTGAAGAGTTTGGAGAAGGCAGGAGAAGTGGACAATCTAGGACGGGCAGGTCACAATCAGGCATCGACCTCTAAACAGGCATATTAGACCGCTCGATCGCAGGGGCCTCTCGGGGTCCTAGCGAGGAGGAAGCAGCCGTCTAATGTGCCTGTTTAGAGGCCGGCGTCGCTGCCTGATTGCGTCCAGCCCGGATCGCGTACCGAGGCGATGCGGGATGGTCGGATCTATTTGCATTGGGGGTTCCTGAACCTGGGCTCCCGTGCCAGCAGAGAGGGCCCCGCGTGCCCTCCCTGGCTCGCGTGCCATAGGTTTCCCCACCACTGATCTAGGACAACATAGCTGATATGGAAAAATTCCCCAATGCTGCTCACTTTTCAGTTCAGCTATGTTGTCCTAGATTGTTCACTTCTCCTGCCTTCTCCAAACTCCTCACCCTTTTGTGAATAACCCTGACAGTCTCATTAAGTGCTCTTTATTATCAGTGTCCGTGTATCCAATCCATCAGTGTCCGTGTATCCAAGTAAACGTATGATTATCCATAACACCGCTGGAGTTGAAGGCCTATGAAAAACCATAGTCTGATCTTGTCCACCTTTTTACATATGACCCTGATGAAGTCAATTAGACGTAACGCTTTACAACATCACACCCAGATGCAGTGCAGAGCAGTCGGAGCTGTGTAGCGAGACCAGCCGGGGCTTTGGTGTTATTGCTGGTGCATAAACTTTTGACCATCGCCAGGGTTGAGGGATTTTGGATTGAGATAGTATTTTAGTGATGGTCATATGTAAAAGGTGGACAAGATCACTTTATGTTGTTTCATAGGCCTTCTACTCCAGTGGTGTTATTTTCACCGAGTGGTGGTGTGGATAATCAGAAGTTTACTTTGGTGGATTGGATACACGGATACCGATCATAAAGAGCACTTAAAGGAGAACTATGAGGTGAGTGAAAATAACTCATCCTCCTAGTTCGAGCCGACGTGTGACAATGAAACTGTCGGCTCAATAGATCAGGAAGTGAGCAAACGCATACAGTCGCTCGCTCACTTCTCGATCATCCCCCTACAGAGAGCCGTGACTGTCAGTCATGGCTCCCCGCAGGGATTCCCCCCTCCCTGCCCCGATCCTCCAGTGCTGACTGAAGGAACGGACGG